CAATGCGCAAGAGTAGGTGTACCCAGAGACTTCCAGAGTACCCAGAGACTCCAAAATCAATCCAGATATGCGGAAGAACCCATTATGCAAACATACCAAGTTTTAAGTTGCTAGCATTAATAATAAAAAAGTTATAATGGTGTTTTACCTGTCAAACTCAACTGAAACCCACTATAGTATGTTGCCATGAAAATGGTAAGCTACACGTGCAGTACAGTATATACATGTATGCAAACTATAGTTAGTGTATATATAGTGGGTATTATATTGTACATAAAGGAGAGACTGTATAGGCTGAGGGTATGATCCCGCTCCAGATCAAACACTCATCAACAGTATACACATTATATTATATCTTCACTAACACACAATATACTCTACAATACATTAATCATATCCTCTACTAATACTACATATACTTACTGGAGTTCTACGAGTAGCCATGTTTAGTACAGTATTAAGATGCTGAAAAGTGAGACAACAAAACAGCTAGCAGCAGCAGCTTGAGCAGTGCGTCTCTTTCTAAAAGTGATAGGGCGTGTCTAACAATAATCATTATAGTGGGCGGAGTGTACCCACGTGTATACACGTGTGGTCCGTGTCCTTGTGCTTCTAGAAGACTGCATGTGATATCATCCTCTGAAGACTTAACAAATAGTACTCAGTGTCAGTCTCTGATCCATTGGAATGAATCTACTATTCAACAATCATTAGGGACCATTTTACACTCCTGGATTTGTAGGCATGACTTGACGAACTTAGTTTTGAAATAAAGTAAATTTTTCAAACCAGTTACTGATAATATTTAATACCAGTGCATACTATCATTTAATATTGAATAAATATTTTGAGTATAGTATTAGTACAGGGTCACTTGTCAAATTTGTCAATATTAAAGATAAGAGAAATCTTCATAATTTTCCTGATGCATATACATGTACTTATATTGTGTAGAAAGTTTGAGCTGATTCCGATCAAAATTATATTTGGCTCCATTGCAGTTTAGGTCCTACCTCAATTAATTATTAAAAGTTAATTGATGATGTCGTCATCATGAATATTAATGATTTACTAGGTTTTTAGGTTTAGGATTCTTATTTTTAGGTTTTCTAGGTTTAGGGTTTTGGGTTTTAAAGTGGTTAAAAGTCACTGTACTATATTGTATAAGGGTCACGAGCCAAATTTCACCAAATTTGAAAAGCAAAATTTTTTGCATTTTTTTCAGTTATATCATGCTTATACATACACTTATATTGCATAGTAAGTTTGAGATGATTCTGTTAAATATTTTGATTTTTGATAAATTTTAAAAAGTAACATCAATTTTGGCTAAAAAACATACTTTGTAAGTGATAATAAAGGTAGTACAAATTGGAGGCAATAATTTTCTTTAAAATGGTATAATAGCTCGAAAAAATTAATATTTGTCAGAATTTCCCTCAAGCTTTTTACATAACATAAGTACATGTGTAATGTATCAGAAAATGTAACAAAATTGGTTCTGATCTTGTAGCCATTTTCGGGAAAAATCATGTGCTTTTACTTTAGCTTTTGCTTTTTTCAGGAAATTTACTATTTTAAAAATTGCTGCATATCTCAAAATTAATTTTTTGTTAGAATCAGCATAATGTCAGTATTAATAATAATTAATCATTTCTTATTATTTATTATAAGTTGTGGACCTGAGGCTGAACTCATCATCTCAAGGACTGATCTCTCATTCATATATTGAAGATCTATAGACTGAGTTTAGGAACTAAGGACTGTACCACTATGAGACTGGTTTAATTAATTAAAATCATTGTTGACTTGTACTCTATTATGTATGGCTGAAGTGTGTTTCTTATTTTATTGTCATTTTTCATGATTTAATCTCATTTCTGTTTATAAGTCATTGCACCCGCTTCTGCATTAATGGCTCTCACAATAATTTTAATCAAAATTCATAATAATCAATGATAAAAAGACAACTTTGTGTATTAAACAAAAATGCTAAAATAATGTTAAGTAATTCTTTATAGTCTTCAGTTAATGTACAGTCAAACAGCAAACAATTAACCTATAGCAATGACAACATATTTAACAATACTATACTTAGAATACTTCTCAATGTAGTCTTCAATAGCAGAGAATTGTACTTATCCTCTTAGTGTCATTAACCTAACAATGGAATGTAATTCATCATACATAGTTACTGTTAGTATCTATTCTTCTTGTATGTAGTGCTCTTAGCATCACTAGCAGTAGTAGCCACTAGTGATCCCAGGCAGTGTCACGTGGAGGTAGCACTACATTGCTGCCCACACTAGCACAGAGAACAATATAATTATATTGACACATACCTAATGTACTCCAACCTTTAACAGGAACTTGCTATAACCTTAGGAAAGAGAAGGTTAATACATGACACATACTGTAAGATATGTCCATTTTAAAATATCCGAACGT